TTAACACTTATCACTGTTTATTTGCGGGTGTGTGCTCACCGATTTGAACTCCACTCCCAGAGCGTCAAAGGAAGGCAGTTCTTAAAGCGTCCACTAACCCTGTACGGGTGTACACACTGAACAAAGGGAGCTTTCACGAGCAGCCCAGTGCCTTGCTCCACACAGCTCTCTTTCCTCAGTGGAGGCCAGCAATGGGCAACCTCCCCACATCCTTCAGCCAGCTCTCTTCAAGGACTGGAGAAAGCCTGGTTCCCTCAGGTGTTGAAAAGACCCTGTGTCTTCCTCACACAGCGGAGCTTCCTACTGGCACTCTTTGCCTGGGGGATTCTTTTTCAAAAATAATTTCCCTAAGCAAGTGGCTAACCCAAGGGCTGTGACTACAAGTCACAGTTCTTCCTCTAAAGCTCCAAAGCTCCTAATATGTCTCGAGGGTAGGGGGAGGTAGGGCATGGGGATGAGTGGTGGTCACATTGGCCTCAGAAAGGGCTGTTTGCCTCTGTATATTCGTTGAGAGCAACCAGGTGGCCTCAGGCCTGTAGAAGACACGAGAGTCAGGTCATACTCGAACGCACGCCCAGCTGAACCCTGTTCAGTAACTTCTCAGTTTGTTTGGCCCAGTGCATCATTTTTCCCACTGAAAGATATGATGACGTAGGACTCAGGAGGACACTTTCCCTCTGTGTCCAGAGCAGATTACTAACCCAGAGCTTTAGATTTAACAGGCGGGGCCCAGAGGACTGCTTTGTCCCTTTCCTACTTTTGAGAGCACCTTGCATTTTAGTAGCCAGCAGAAGGGTGGCCTTCTGTTAGGTACAACTGCAAGGACACTTTCTGCCCATTATCATCATGGTTGACCCAGTGTGGGCAAATGAAGGACTTACCGCTTGGAGTAAGTGCACACATGACTGATTAATCCATTGCCCTGCTTTTGTGCGGTATGTTGGGTAGTTTGGGAGTGAATAATTGCCACCTGACTTTAGGGGCACCCCTGACACCAAAGTGCCTGCCTTGTGGTACTCCACAAGTCTCCAAAAACGTTGTTCTCAGTGAACATTGCTATACCCTCCTTTAGGGGGCATGCCTGGATTTAGGCAAAGACTCTGAGAAGCCAACCTAAAGTCACCTTTGCATGCAATTCTACCTCTTACTTTTCTCACTACTGTGACCAAATAGCAGAAAGCAACTTAGAAGGAAGAGTTTATTTGGACTCGTGGTTAGGGGATAGTCTGTGATGACCCACCTTGGTTTGTCAACATGACACACTCTGGAAAAGGGAATCTCAGTTGAGGAATTGCCTTCATCAGTTTGGCCCATGAGCCTGTCTGGTATTAGAGGTTGTTGACTGATGTAGGAGGGAGCAGCCTGGTGTGGGCAGTGCCATTCTTGGGCATATTGGCTTTGGCTAGATGAGAAAAGCACTGACTGCGAGCAAGCCAGTAAGCAGACTTATTCTCTTGGTTTCTACTTCAAATTCCTGCCTTGAGTTCCTGCCTTGATTCCCCTTGGTTATAGACCATAAGCAATAAGTTAAAGTTAATTTTTTATTCCCTAGGAGCTTTTGGTCATGGTGTTTATCATACAAACAGAAGGCAAACTAGAACACAGGCCATCATGGTAGAAAGTCACAGTGGCAGGAACGTGAGGTGGCTGGACACGTTATATCCTACAGTCAGGAAGCAGCGTGATGACTGCTGGTACTCAGCTTTCTCCATTTTTCCGTTGTATCTAGTCTGGGACTCTAGCCCAGGGCGTGGTGTTACATATTCATCAGGGGCTTTTGCTCCTCAGTTAAACCTCTTTTGAATTTCCTTCACATACATATCCAGAGATGGTGTTTCCTAGGGGATCCCAAATCCAGTCAAGATTAGCCATTATAGTTGGTTTATGCCATTTCGAGAATAGCTGCTCTCTCTCTCTCTCTCTCTCTCTCTCTCTCTCTCTCTCTCTCTCTCTCTCTCTCTCTCTAGAGGTGGACAGATAGACATGAATAAAGTCACCTGTTTTTCTGGAGCCCACTACTTAGACTGACTACAGCAAATGTTTAGAGCCAGAATGTTGATGGATTCTTTGTAAACTGCTTGATGATAACATCACTCTTCAATTGTTCACTGAATTCTGGCTCAAAATTTACACGCACTCAAACAGTGCCTTGCATTAACACCACTCATTCATCCACTAATGTATTTGCTGATTCATTCAAAATACCTAATGAGTGCCATATGTGACCAGGCAAGAAAGCAAAGCAGAGTCCTAGACCTCAAGGAGCTACAGCAAGTCAAAGAGACAGGTAGAGGAATAATTGCAGTCCCACTAGATAAATGCTATAATGGAGGCAGGCTTATTTATAAACCATGAAAGATCAAGTCCAGCGAGGGAATTAAGGGCTTGCCTGAGCCCTGCTCCTAAATATCAGTAGGCCCAGTCATGTCATATATTTCATGGCTTGGATTGACATGTCGAAATCTGGAAACAACTATGCTGATTTAGCAAGCAGTGGAGAGTTTGTAAACAAAGTCCAGGACTCTCTGTGATTTTTTTCAAATTTCTGAGAAGTAGTCTTTTGTGGTGGAAACATCTACCTGAAGCAGATGAAGGCTGGCTGTTTGGACTTCTCAACCATCTTGGCCCTTTCTTTTGAGCCCAGGAAACAATAACAAACATGATATTTAGTACAGAACAGCTTCGTCTTCAGCAGAAATAAAATGACGAATGAAATATCTTTCATGCTCATGTAACTTGACCAGCCTTAGTACCCCAGTAAGTTCAGTGTGGAAACTGGGAAAAGAAACACATGGCCAACAACCCCGGGTATCAGATATACAGTTTCTGATTGAAACATGTTCTCGGGACAGGTATGGGATGGAGGATGGGAATTTATGGGAAGTCAGAGGGCTTTTGTCAGAGCCTGCTCTGTGAGCAATAAGACTGGAGTTGAATCCTGGATGGCGATGCACTGTGGGCAGTTTGTGTGAATGTGCTTTGTAAACTGGGGCATGTCTTGCCAATGTGTAGGAAGGATTATTACCCTGACTTTCAACCACCACCTTAGTCTCTAGAAAAGTCAACACCCCTCCTTAGAGGAAATTAAGCCATGAAAAAAAATGTCCCTTTTATTTTGTGATATCTTTTCCCTAATTTGTCAAGGAATCTTTTTAAACAGTGCTGGTGAATTGTGACACTCACTTTGGGAATTTTGTGCACAGTCAAAATAAAGTGCTACATTATGTTTTCCTGCTTAACGGATGTGAATGCACCGTGCAATTTTTATTTACTCTGAAGTTGAAATCATGACTTGGACTCATGAAATTGATTTCTTGGTAAAATTACAAATCACAGCACTTTAAAAAGCACTCTCTAATTTCTAACATAATCCACAAGTCTTACATCATCCAAGGAGACTCACCTTTTTGTTGGCCCTGGATCAGTCGTGTGTTTTGCAGCATTCATAATTATGAACAAACTAAAGAGGAGAATTATTGCAATGTTCCAAAATGACTTTTCAGATGAGGGAGGCTTAGACTATTTTACTGGGAAATTAAGTGTGCAAATGCATGTGCTCATCAAATAATAAAATCTGAGATAATGTTGGCTAATCTTAGCACACCTGGGAAGAGAGACCCTTGCCTCTATCAGATTGAGCTGCAGGTGTGTCTGTGGGGTATTTTCTTAATTCCTAACTGATATAGGAGGGCCCAGCCCTCAGTGTGACACCATGCCACCTTGACTGTGTTAGAAAGAGAGCCAAGCATTATCCAGGAAAAGCAAGTTAGTAAGCAACATTCCTAATTGGCCTCTGCTTGATTTCCTGTCCTAACTTCCCTAAGTGATGGACTCAAGGTGAATTAAACCCTTTCCTACCTCCCAAATCGATTTTGATCATGGTATTTATCACAGCAACAGAAAGCAAACTGGAATATTTATGTAGAATATATAGGTGGATGCTATCATCCAGCTGGAATCTTCCATTTCACAGATGAGAAACAGAGGCTCACGCGGCCTCCATTATTTGCCTGACCTGTTAGTGTCCATCAAAACCAGAACACCAAGATGCTGACTTTTTATGTTGATGGTTTTCCTAACATCTTAACATCCAGAAATTCTAGTGCTTCAGAAACAATGAGCCTAAAATTAAAGGACCACATGTTCTTGGTCTTGAAATTGTATCTTAGTACTAAAACTTTTCCTTTTACCTATTATTTATTTACACATCTCCAATTTGAATTACTGTGAGGCATAAAGAACAATTCCTGGGCCCTCAAATCCAAATACAAAAACAGGACAGTACCCTTGAGCTCTTCATTTGAGCATGACCTTGAAAAGTAACTCTGAAAGTTAGGAAGTGAGAGCAGAAAGCTAGATGGTCGCATTACTTAAAAAAAAAAAAAAAAAAAAAAACAGTTAAATGTAAACAACTACATTTATTGACTGTTTGAAACCTCTCCCAAACCTATCCTTCTTGAAGGTGTTGAGTGTCTAAAGGTGCAGAATTGATCAACCATGAAACGGTGACCTAATGTCAACTTGCTAAGAATTAGTATAATAATATCCATGCCCTAAGGGTAAAGCACTCAGCCCCAGTGTGGGCTCTTTCATCCTTGCTCACACTACAATCATATTTCTTTGTTAGTATTTCCTCTTTGCATTGTGGGGCTGCTGACATTGATAGATAGCAGGGGAGAAACTGAATTCAAAAAAAAAAAAAAAGGAGGAAACATGTTCTGTACTGTTGGCTCAAAAAATAACGTGTGTGAAAAGCTCTCCGGGAGCCTGCTCCTCACCTTCCGTCTTGAGCCGCAGCTGCTGACAGCAGGCACTGCTGAGCTATAATTTGGCCACATTTGGCTCATGTAAATTGTGATAAACAAGGAGCCCATAATATTTATTTTAGAGATTCATTCAGTGAAGTAAGCATTCTTGACTTGTGTATACATGCTGTGAATGGAAGGCTGCAGATGTATGCCACACAATTAACATGGCTGTATGATTTCTGCTCCGCACAGGTGTGGGGCGTTGAAACCCTTTGAAGAAGTGTGTGGCTAATAGCCTATGTGTAATTGTGAAGAAGTCTTCAATGGAAGCCTCTCGTGAGATAAATGGACAGTCTGTAAGTAAACACAATGTCAGTCTTAAGCAAAGAGTTATGGCTTTTAAGATTGTAATGCCTATTTTTGTTGTAACCTGAGTGTCTGGAAATTTCTCAGTCTCTGTACCAATTTTTAATGATTTTGAACCTTATGAATTGAGTAGTGCACTATTTCATCAGCCTAACCTAATTTATGTCTCTTCTTAGAGGTATCAGCTATCAAAAGTAAAGTCAGAGAGGAAAAAGCCAACCTTTAGTATTATGTAATTACACCAATATGTACAGCATAATTTTAATGCTTATTACATTTTCCTTAGCCTCAGGGAAAGCATATTGTCTCACAAAACTTGAAATTAATTCCTGTTTTAGATCGCTTCCTATGTATTTTCTTTATCGTGTATCAGTGTGTGTTGAAAATCTATGTTGAATATGGAAGTTTCACAGTCTGATGTGCTCTCACACGGATTTCAAATAAAGGAACCCTTCAGCTATACTTTGTTTATCTTGTGAGCAGAAGAGAAAGGATTCAGAAATTTTGCTCAAGTCCATCTCAAGAGAAAAATTTAGTGAAGCTTGCAAATGACTGTTTATTTTTTGAAGTCATGGTATCGAACTTCTGAGGTGTTTCCGTGGGTGAAAGTTGCTTCCTTAGAAAATTTCTCTAGCAGCATTTGGGGTAGGACACACGACATTGTATTTTAGGTGCCTTGCTCAGATCAAAGGCTTTCAGACATATGGTTTCATGGCCCAGCTTTGTTCGCAATGGAATTATCACAAACGCAGAGTGTGATCTTTAGTAATGCTGTTGTGGTTCCTGTAAGGGTGTGTTTTACAAGCCCTTTTGGTGTTATGTAGTAAGTACCAACTGCTAATGGATAAGGATTTTAATAAGCAGTGGTCAAGAGCTAGCATGGCAGTTAGAGCTGTACTGTATGCAATTACGGAGTGGAATATATGGATCCTCGAAGTCATCCTCTGAGATAATTCAGACAAAGCACTTCAAGATCACTTTGTATGGTCTAGCTTTTACCCTAAGCAGGAAACAGGCATCTGTAACCTATTTAGTTATTTATTTTATTTAAAGTCCTACTATGAGTCAGTGATGTTTGATTTTATTATATTAAAGCACTTGCATAATTCATATAATATCAGTGAAAAATAAGATCACCAATGGCTTAATACTGTCACCCTTGTAATAGAGGCAAGTTAACATGTTGGGGAATTTGACAAGTTTAACTACTTTTGTAGAGATGTGTTGGTTTAGTAACTGTGTATTATATTTTGTCAATCCTAGTTTAAGAATGAAGAAATTAAGATTCAAAATTAAAACAAATAATATGTAAAAAATGATTCACAGATCTGCTTTGGCCTTCAACAAAAATACTATGTTGCTTACATTTTGAAGAACTATTTGTTGTATATATTCATGGTACTGTGCTACATAGGACATTTCATGCAAGTACACTTATTATATAATAAGTGTATTGGCCCCTGAATCCCTTATCTCTTTTTCTCCCTCTTCCTCCTGTTCATCTCTTTCGGATCAAAGTAACATGTTTAGTGGGCAAGATAATTACACGTCACTTTGGTTTGGTTTGGTTTGGTTTGGTTTGGTTTTGTTTTGGGATTACATCGACGGGCAGCAGTTCTGCTCTGGAGCAGCAGTTGACTAACACAGAAGTACAAGAGCAGGCAGGGCCACTTCTCAAAGACTCATGCCATGTGGTATTGATTGGAGAAGCCTTTCCTGGCAATCTGGCTCCTGTGCGCTCAATCAGGGATGGCCTTCTTTCCCCCAGAGGCTGCTGTGTAGAGGCTTGGGGTGGACTCCTCCAGGCTGCCTTCCATCAGTTCTCATGTCCCCTCCCCTTCCCCTAAAAACCAGCCTCGGGATGGAAAGAGAACCTAGACTGGACTGGCAGCACTGCCATTACTCAGGACGGAAGAGTGGAAGGCGCCTTGAACTAACGACACGTGCCTTCACACTTGCTAGCAGGGCTGACAGTTCCCTTGCTCGTCCTGTTCTTTTCTTAAGGTCTGTCTTAGAGCAAGTCAACTGGGTTTGAGGCCAACAAAAAATATGTTGGACCCTTGTACTTCTGTCCTATGTGCTGAAAGAGACAAATCGCCATAGCCAATCCTAACACATGAACATGGCCATGTAACTCTCATCCTGTCACCAAGCAGATCTCCCCTCTCCCTGACAATCCTCTCACTTCCTGTCTTGCTCGGCACACTTTGGTGCCCATCTTCTGACCCAGCAGACAGCGCTGCTTGTGACTGCTTTCCTGTCAGTTAGTTCTGCCTGTTGTTCCAGAACCTCATGTACACTTACAAGTCCCTTGCTTCTGCTTTTGTCTCCCAGTGGATCTGCAAGGTACCTCACTATGGTGGCAGTTAGGCAGTAGATTGTTCTTTTTACCCATACCTAGTGAACACTGCATGTACCTTTTTTGAAAAATATTAGATAATATTTATAAAGTATTTCTTTGAGAACTTTGATTGTGGTATCAGTAAAACGAAGAGAATAAAAGCCATACAGGCTGATCAATCCTTTTTGTATCATTATTGTTATACAGCTTTCTTCCAGTCTATAGCTCTTTGCTCACAGAATTATACTTACAAGTGGGCTCTTTGGAGTTGTGCCTACTATATCTATAATTATTCAATTCTTGTTCCCTAAGAACAAAAGTCAGGCCTTTGGTTTTGCTCATTAGATTTTTTTTAAACGTATTTTATATGCAGTGGTATTTTGCTTGCATGTATGTCTATATGAGGGTGTCAGATCCCCTGGAACTGGAGTTACAGACAGTTGTGAGCTTCCATGTGGGTGCTGGGAATTGAACCTGTGTCCTCTGTAAGAGCAGCCAGTGCTGTTAACCGCTGAGCCTCTCTCCAGCCCTTATTAGGTATTTTTTAAAAGAAGTCTTTTGAGTGGGTTTATACACAAAGCTCGTTATCAAAACATATGTGTGATGTTTAACCCATGCAATGACCAGTTGAGGATTCGGAAGCTCCTGTGACTCCATTCCTTGGTTCTTTGCTCTGTGGGTAGAAAACTGTGATGAGATGGAGGAGAGCTGGTAGCTGCCTCCCAGTTATTCCAGAGATTCAGGCTGGGCATAGAGTGGACAGAAGTGCCAATCCTGTTCTTTTATCCCCTGACAGCTGGTAAGCACAGGTGGTCTCTCTGTGGGAGAGACTGAGACATGTGTCCTTGTCATTTTCAGCGGGTATGATGATTGTATTTGTAAAGCTTCTAAACCATTGTGCCTAGCAACTTACCAGTGGTTACACCACCTAAGAAAATCTCTCCTCCCCCCCAACCCCCGTAACTGCCTATACAACCTTGGGTTCTGATAGGGCCTCATGAGCCCCTCCCACTTCCGTGGCAGGATGTTGACAGGCACAGTCCTGTGAAGGCAAGCACAGGTGTTAGGAGTTCGGAGTACAAGGGCCATGTCAGAACTGGAAGACAGTTCAACACTTCACCCACTCCTCCAGCCTGGGGGTAGATTTCTCAGCATCAGACACAGCAGCTATATGGATAAAAATGGTAATATTTCTTTTCTTACTTAAAAATCACAATTTTGCAGTTCAAGTGGAATCAAAATTCAAAAGTTCTTTGAAAACTAAAAAGTACAATATAACTTGAATGTGCTTTTTACTAGAAACAGCCTCTAGCAAGGGAGTACATGATGCCTAGTGGTTAAGATCGATGACTACTCTTTAGAAGAACCAGGTTTGATTCCCAGCATCCACATGGGAGCTCACAACCATCTGTGACTCCTCTACCAGGGGGCCCAATGCCTGTCCTCTTCTGGTCTCTGTGTGTACCAGGCAAGCACACACATACATGTAGGTATAATACTCACAAACATTAAGTAAAATAAATTTAAAAAATTTAAATCTCTAGAAAAATGTAGACTGGTATAAAGCGGTATCTGATCACCCTCCACCGCATAAAACAAAACAAAATGACCCAAAACTTAAAAACACAACTTTTATACCCATGCCTGGTGGTACAGACATCACTACAAACATATGCTTGGTTATAGTGTTGGTGGCTAGCAGAGAGGACTAGGCCTGAGGCTCTTCATGATAAAAGTCAGATAACTACTTACTTCAATCTAGTACATTTCAGATGATGATCTGCTAGATCTCTTGGGAATAAGGGCACTTCAGAGTTCCATTGTAATTCCTGAAACTTAAATTTGGCCCCTTTAAGTTAAGGAAAATTTGTATCACTAATGACAGGTCTTGGCTATTGAGTTTTGCAAGAAAAAAAAGTCATTAAATAAAACATGTACATGCTGTATTCTTAATACTTGGGGATTCTAGAAATAAAAGGTGATTCTTAAACACACTGGAAAAATTTGATGAATATCTTATTAATAGAAACACAGTGGCCCATAATGGCACTCATTGGAAGTTATGATATAAATACCATCCACATTGCAAGTCAAACCAGGGAATGGAGAGATAGCTCTATCTGATGACACAGGTCTTTATTTTAAGAGTCTAGGCCAGTGTGAGCACATTATGAGAGCCCAGACTGGTAGACAGACATTGTTGGACTAGCGGGACCCTAAGCCTATGAATCACCCTAATAAATCCCATATATATATATGAATATATATATATATATATATGAATATACATTCATTCTATCAGTTTTATTCCTCTAGAGAACTCTGACTATTACAGGAGCTTAGCTCTTGATGTACCATCATCCAGATCCTAAGTGTCTTGATGGAAGATTAATAATGAACACATGTAATTGTTTTCTAGCACTTAAGGGCTTTTCTATAACCATTAGCTGCAGGCTATTGGTTTAGCACACTAGATTTCTTCTCTCCCTTTGTCTGAGAGTGTAGTGGGGTGTGTGTTTTTAGTACCAGGTTGTCAGGTCTGGAACTGAGGTAGTTTTACCCAGTTACACTTGATACACCACACTAAACAAATGCCAACTTGAACATAGGAAGGTGGGGCATGGCAAAGACAGCCCAGGTTATTAACTGTGGATCAGGACTGGAAATTTTGCTCAGTAGGCAAGCACAAAGAACTAGGTTCATTCCCCTATATTGGGATGAGGATCAGGTAAGAGATGATTTAACTATGGAGCATTTTAGCAAATAACATCAAGAAATTTATTTCTGAGCTTCTATTTATTTTCAGAAAGAAATCATAAGATATATATTATATATACTATATAATATGCTAGGTCCATGCAATGAGGAAATAAGGTCATATATGCCAGAGTGCTCTGTAAAGTGATGTAGGCAACACCTTGTATTAAACCCTGAGGCAACTTTTGGCAAGAGCAGGATTATTTAAAATCAGACAGACCTGCTCAGTTTTCATTCTGCTCTTAGGCAGGTTTCTTAACATCCCTAAACTGTAGTTCCTTCTCATTTGCGAAATGGAGAATGACTGTGTGAATAGCAACATCATAACCTATGAGTGGCGTGCAGAGAGGAGGTTTAGATTCTACGGCTAGACTCTGAGCATACACTTGAGCTGGGATGCTCACCCTACCCCAAACAAGTGGACCTGCCTCCTCTGGGCCAATTTCCACGTCTGCCAACGAACTGATAATGTTCACAGGGGTACTGTGAAGTCTAAAGTGGGTTCTATGTGTGCTGCTAAGCATGACATGGAATACATACTATCTCAGTGTTTTCTGTTATTCCTAGTACTATCCCAAATGTTCAGTAAGTACTTAATAGTATTTCTTATTAAATTAAAATGTACTTGACTAGGGGAGGATTAAGTTACCATCTCTCAGCTGAGGTACAGTAGGTGCTTATTCACAGGATTAGGATGGAGTTGTCATCTGGGAGGGTCAGGTTATGCTAGAAGGAATGGGAGCGGGGTTGTCATGTGACTAGGTCAGTATGGTTAGGCACATTAAGAAAGTATGTCATCAGAGCTTGGAAGAGATGGGCCAGCAAAGTTCAAACTGGGCACCAGGATGTAAGAGCAGTTGGATGATTTTAGGTAAAAGCTAAAACCTAGACAGGAAAATTACTCCAGGGGCAGGACAGTGACATGTTTATATTTCCAAGGCCAAGCCCAATGACAAGCCATCCATGAGCACTCAGTAAACGTTTGTTTATCTGAGCTGGCCAACATCTTGTGTTCTGGTGTAGCTCACTTGGTCTACACACACTAAATAAATGGAGTGTGACAAAGATGGAAATTGTTTGTGACTGGTGTTGGAAAGAAAGGAGAGAGAGATCTAACCACTGAGACGAGCTGTCCTTTGGCTGCCTCTGGTCAGCACACTTCCACAGCAATGATGCATGGGAGGCTCTTTCTCTGAGTAAACACACAAATCCTGAGACTTGATTTTTTTTTTTAATAGTAAGATCTGGGGTGATTAGTTTGAATTCTTAAAATAAAAACTACCCAGCCAGACACGATGATGCACACCTGTAATCTCAGTTTTCATATGTTGAGGCAGAAGGATTACAGCCTTGAAGTCAGCCTGAACTGCATGGTGAGTGCCCCAAAACAAAATGCAAAACTAAAAGAATAAAAACAAAAGTTGGTGCACAGCTTTGCTACTGTGAGAGATGCTGCTGCTTCCCAGTGTTGTATGGTCTATCAGTCACCACTGCTGAACCCTGATGCTGTGGCATGAAAGCCACATGGTTCCACAGAACAGAGTCTGGAGATAGCGAGCCTGTTTGCAGACACAGTGAGGATCTCTAGGTTGTCCTCTTCCAGGCCGTTCCTGGGGAATGGCTCTACAGTTGCTCAATTTCTCCTTCCAAGATTTCTCACTGTCTTCCTCTCAGGCTAGCCTGTCCTGTCTGCGGTGACTTCTCTTCTTTTGCTGGGCTGCACTGTCCTCATTTTTAACATGGAGAATTTGGGAGACAGTCTATTCCGATTTGAACTCTGTGTCATTCTTGGGTGTTCACGTTGAACTGGGTAATTGAAGTTCATAAATGTTTTATATCACCAATGAATCTGTGTGTCATCAAGGAGTGCACAGAATCAGGCCCACATTTGGATCAGCATGAGCTTAAGTGCTTCCTCACAGTTCCAGGAGAGCATTCGAACCCCACTGAGGTGAATTTCTGTGTTCTCAATCTGCTTTGCTTTTCTTTCCTTCACTCCCCTCCCCCACCCTTCTCTGAAACCTTCTTCATCTTGCAGTCAATGACTATTGCTGTTCACGGACTTCCACATTTGCATCAGCACTGACGTGACGATGAGGGAGCTTTGGTTCCTCAGTTTAGTTTGCCCGGAGCCTTTCTGTGACATCCTCTCCGGGGTTCCTATGATTAAGTATGTAGAATGTTGTCAAGAAAATGCTGTCCATCCTGTGCCTGAGCCACAGTCCGTTACACTCGGGAGCCATGTTTACAAGTTCCTGGATATTCCCCTCTTTAAGACAGGAAACTTGTTGACAAAACTCCTTGGAAAGGTCCTTTTGGATCTGTCTCCTTGAGTGTCGTCTGGGCCCAGTGACACATTTCTAAGCAGGAAAAGGGGAGAAGTGATGGCATGTCACTGTGGATACTAAGTCATGAAAGCCACTGTGGCCTGGATTATCCTCAGTGGCCGGGCAACGTGATCAGGACCTGCAGCCTTCTGAGGCAACCACGTGAGTGAGCTAAACTGAGAATAGATCCTGGAATGACTGTAGCTCTCATAAAACTGTATATGATAATAAAAATGTATTTTTAAATGTTCATTTGTCTACCCATCTATCTACGTTTACACACACACACACACACACACACACACACACACACACACACACACACGCATTTGTGGTGCTAGGGATGAACCTAGAGCTTTGTGCAAGCTCAATGCAGACTGTATTGCTGAGCTGTATTTCTTATCCCAGTGTCTGGTAATGTGCTAAATTCTGGGATAAATTGCTACACAGTGATAGGCAACTAATGGATGGAACTCACCAACCTATCTTTCAATTAAAATCAGTAAAATATTCTGGTTTTTGAGCGAAGTATTTTCTTTTTAGTTATGTGTGTGGCTATGTGCACTCAGTGCCCTTGGAGGCCAGAAATCCCCAGAACTGCAGTTATAAACAGCTGTGAGCTACTGATCTGGGTGCCAGGAATTGAACTCAGGTCCTGTGTGATAGCAGTGTAAGTTCTTGACTTCTGAGCTGCCTCTCCGGCTCAAAATACTCAGGAATTTTGAACGAAAGAAGCAAAGCTTGATAACAATGACATAAAGAAGTTTAAACAATTATATACATGCAATTCCATAGGTAGAATTAGTAGTTATTATAATTTTGTACTTATCATATCTATTTCTTTATTATCTCTTTTTATTTATTTTTCTCTTTTTTGTCAACGGAATACAATCAGAAGTCAATTTATTTATATTTTCTTCCCTTCCCCCAAAGAACCCTTTCTTTCCAAACAGTAAGTGCTTTGAACTGCTAATTAGCATAGATTTTTTTTTTTTCTATTCTGGGTTGTCAGTCCTAATTTGAAAGTCTGTTTGCCTTAGATCTTGATCTCTTTAAGGACAAACAGCAGGCTGGGAGGACCCTTCCCAGCCCGGCTGCCTCTGGTGCTGAGGCGCTCTGTTTTGCGCTGTCATAGATGGGCAAATGTTTTGGTTGAATGAATGAATGAGTAAATACAATTGCCTGGAGTGGAGGTTTTGTAAACAGAGGGAAACCTTCACAGGCTCTGGCTTGGCAGCTTTCATCCCTCCCGGCTCCAGGGAGCCAGGCATCCCTGGAAACAGACCAGAATCCAGCCCAGGGCTGCTGGGTGCTGCTGCCTTTCATGATAGTGGAAGTGATCTGGATCTGACGACAAACACCACTGCTAGGAAAGAAGCCCCATCAACCGGGATTCCAACATTTCCGCCAAGATGATCAGAGGAAGAAAGGAATTTTGAATATATGCTTTTATAAGAGAAATTAATAGTGGAGATTAATTCAACCTATACAGATTAGTGAAACTAAGTGGTTAAAATCAGTTAATAATCATATACCAAATACCTTAATCACATTTTCCCCACAAATGAGCCATATTTATTGAAGAAGTTTTTCCATGGTGGCCTTAAATTAAACTAGGTGACTCTAATGCAAAAGAATTTTTATATTTAGGCTTTTTGTTTGTTTGTTTGTTTTATCGCCAGGGTCTTAAGGCTGACTTCCATCTCAATGTGCAGCCAAGGCCTTGAACTCCTGATCTTCCTTTCTCAGCCTCCCTGCCCTCCACCCCCCAGTGCTGGAATTACACGCATGTTCTGCCATCTTAACCTCAGAGGGATTCTCAGCATTTTCTGAAAGAGTTCTTTCAGTTTCAAACAAGATACATCAAACACTAGAAATATACAAAAATATGTATATATATATATGTGTATATATATATATATATATATATAGAGAGAGAGAGAGAGAGAGAGAGAGAGAGAGAGTGAGTTTGGGGCTGGAGAGATGGCTCAGAGGTTAAGAGCACTGGCTGCTCTTCCAGAGGTCCTGAGTTCAATTCCCAGCAACCACATGGTGACTCACAACCATCTGTAATGAGATCTGGTGCCCTCTTCTGGCCTGCAAGCATACATGCAGAAGAACACTGTGTACATACTAAATAAATAAATCTTTTATTTTTATTTTTTTATATTTATTTTTTTATTTTTTATATTTATTTTGATTATTTTATAAATGTTTTAAATAAAAAATATATTGGTTGATGCAACTTTGTACATGTACTCCCATCTCATATTAAAGCAATGGCTGAACTAGGGTTCTTATTCAGTATGCAGAAGAAAATACCCATGAGAGCAGTGGAGGGAGCCTGCTGGGGTGGCAAGCAGCTGGAGGTATGTGCTGCAAGTCCCAGTACAGCTGCAGCTTAGCTGTGTGCCAGTCTCTGGTCTTCCCTGAGCCAGTGTCCTTACCTCCAAGATAGGGATACCATGTAATCTTCTCTAGAGGGTTGGTTCTGGAAGGGAGGGGTCCTAACAATACTAAAGCCTTTGGATTTAGTTCAAAAATATTGAGTATTTTACTAATTTTATTGGGAAAACGTTGTAATAGTAGTCTACTGCTATGTAACAAATGATTCCAAAATTTTGCCCTTTAGCAGACATTGGGTCAAGGGGTGTAGCTCAGTTGTACGGCCTGGACTCAGTCTGGTCTTCTACCAAATGGCAAGCATGTGCAAATCCATATGTATGTTTGCACATCCTTCTGTGTGCTGTGAGTCATCTCCAGGAGCCTGGTGTAGCCATGCTTGCAGTCCCAAGCTGCTTGGAGGCTGAGGTGAGATGAGCCACTTGAGCCCATGAGCTCAAGAGCTGCCTAGCAGTATATGGAGGCCTTGTTTCAAATATTAACCTTTATACAAAGACAATAAAAATGTCGATGTAAACGACGTGGTATTTGGAGAGCTATGGCAAGAGAAATAGTATACACGTGTTCAGTACAGATGCAATTATTTCCTAATTATTTTCTGTCCAACATTGGTTGCATCCATGGGTGCAGCATCCTTAGATACAGAAAGATAACTGCAGCTCACTCACAAGCATCAGGGGAAACTCATGGGTACCTTTACTAAGCACTGTAGCAAAATAGACACACATATGACACAGAAACGCACGCCTCTTCTCCCAGGCAGCCCAGCTAAAATGAAACCCCCAGAGTCCTTTGGTTCTCTTCAAAGTTTTCTTTTCTTTTCGTAAAAGAAAATAGAGAAGTATTATTGTTGTGGTTGTTATTACTACTTGGTGACTCATTACAAGGCTTTCTTACAGGATCCTGGGTAAGAAATGTATTTTTTAATTGCTGACAAATAACATTTTTTTTTCACTTCAAAATATGGAATTCAAATCGTCAGCCAGGATGCCATCTCAACACAAAACGGTTGCCAACAAAAGTGTCAAATGATCATTTGATCTATTTGTGACATAAAGGAAGGTGATGAGTCTACTAGATTATCAGCAGTGGGAGTGAGAGACGTCACTGGTCTCGTACACAGAGTGTGCTGAAATTCTGAGAGGAATGCATTACTGTGGGCCCTTTGTGAGTTGGAAGTAGTCTGGGGATAAAAGTGCATTAATGATTTTGAAAGCTGCATTAGTTTTATTCATTTCTGTTATAGCGGTTGTTTAGGTGAATGGCCCCTGTCTATACTTCCTGTAACAGTTGTTTAAATTTTGATATTACTTTGGAAGGCCAGGTCTGAAATTCTTATAATGTTCTCAATTCATTTTAAAAGAAGATCATAAATACTAAAGACATATATATGTCTATATATATATATGTATATATAAATGTTTACAAATCTATCATTTATTCTACCATTAGGTATTAGCTTGTTGGAGACATTGTTCCAAGAATGCTTTTAAGTGTATGCCAGAAGTAAATGGAATTGATAGTTGAGTTCTCCATACATTATGTATCTTTAAGACATTGAACCAGCCGGGCGGTGGTGGAGCACGCCTTTAATCCCAGCACTCGGGAGGCAGAGGTAGGCAGATCTCTGAGTTCGAGGCCAACCTGGTCTCCAAAGCGAGTTCCAGGAAAGGCGCAAAGCTACACAGAGAAACCCTGTCTCGAAAAACCAAAAAAAAAAAAAAAAAAAAAGACATTGAACCAATTGGCTGTCCTGAAATATTATGCCCTAAAGAGACAGATCTGATTTTCTTGGAGGCACTGGTTTCCTGTCGTAGGTTGGGCCTATTATGACAAAGAATACATAATAAGTGTGACACACTGAGGCGGGGGCTGCCCTGAGGACTTCACATACACTGCCTATACTGTACTCGCTCATTACTATCTGGTGAAAATCTTCTGGGGACTTCTGGGTAGAGGATAAGGTGAGAGGGGATTGCCTCTAAAATCCTTCCCAAGGCTGAGATTTCATGGCCTCAGGATTTATTACATCCTATTTGATGAAAGAGAGGAAGGGAGACTGTAAGGATCAAGGTGGCTTTTCCGTAGCCAAGGAGTAAAAATGCATAACACTCTCTGCCTTCCCTGTGGGTTTCACGTAGACGGTTCAAGAAAACTCCCTATGTTTTCCCAGAAAGGTTCACATAACACACATACAAATTAGAAATACTTTAAATATTTCTTGCATTCTTTCAAACCCTCAGTCAGCACTCAAGTAGAGTAAAAATCCTTAATTCTTCTTAAGGTCTAAAAACTACTTACTGATTTGTAATTAAGTTGGGTAAACTGCTGGTTATAAATTAACTTGGGGATGAGCTTGTTGCTTATCTTGCCTCTTTTCCTTTGTTTTCTTGTTTAGGGGTATTCAGGTGGATAGCTGTGGATCTAAAGAGTCTTAGAATGGGAACTCCTCAGTCATTACTTGGTCAACAAACAATAAGAGTTAAAAAAAAAAACTTTGGGAAATATGTGCAGCTTTGGGAGAAAGCAAAACATGGTCTTGCTTGTGAATTATTTAGAAACTATTAATCTATAGTTCACAAAGCAATTCCTCTACTTTATTTTAATTGGGGAGGGGATAAATATATATATAGATTTTTGTGGTTTAAAAAAATGTGCTAAGAAGCCTTCCATATCGTTTCCTTTAAGGATTTCTATAAGTAATGCGATTCTAGGTGGTGTCTCCAGACTCTAGATACTTTCCCATGCATTCTACTGAGAAATTTCTATAGAATAAATTAAGTTGCATCTTGCTTTGAATATATTTTGTTTAACTTAATTCTTTACATATTCATGGAACATTGCCATTCATGTTCCAACTTTAAAAAACCTGCCTATCAGCACTGTTAGAAATTGAACACATTTTTGTTTTGTTTTTGGAGACAGGGTTTCACTGTGTAACCCTGGCTGGCCTGGAACTAGCTATATAGACCAGGCTCAAACTTAGAGAAATCCACCTGCCTCTGTCTCCCAGTGCTGGAATCAAAGGCATGTGCTACAACATCTGGACAAATTAGACATAATCTCAATTTTGGTTTCATGTGATAGGAATATAATTGCTATGAAGGCTACATCTAAGATATATTGAAAGAGTTATATGTAGTTAGACAATTTTATGGTTTTTCTTGTTTATGGGTGCTATTACCAACTAACTATAATACTACACATGTTCACTTTTATTATTCACTTGAACCCATAATTAGCTATATCACATTCTCTTTAGTTCAATTCTAAGTAATATGGGCTTAGAGTTTTAAAAAAAATATGGATTTTTATAATATACTTTTGGTATTTTGAGGATTTCATATATGCATACAATGTATTTTGATCATAGTATTCCTCAATAAGTATTTCATAAATACCTAAAAAAAGGATTTTTTTTTTTACTTTATGTATATGCACATATGCATGCATGAGTTTATGCACACCACATGTGTGCAGGTTTGGTACCTGTGAAGTACAGAAAACTTGGGATCCCCTGTAACTGGAGTTACAGGTGTTTGTGAGCTGCCAGATGTGCGTGCTGGGAAGGAGACGCAGGTCCTTTGCAAGAGCAGCATGCTCTCTTAGCCTTCAAGCCAGCTTGAAGCCATCCAGCCTTAGGATAAAGATTGTTTTTTCCTTTTAAAGAATGATTACGCAAATGTAACACGGGAGGAACGGTTATTATCTTCCTAACCAGGAACAGCCTGTGATAACTATTATTTTAAAAACTTGTTGAAACAGTTACAAGTTGAAATTCGTGGACCACTGCGACCCAGAACATTATTTGCAGCTAAGGACAGAGGTGGGAACCACAGGTGCTTAGGTAAGTTTCAGAACGCGCGCCCCTTGTACGTCCCTCACTGACTGCTTCGTGGGCTGCCTTATTCTCCAGGCATCTATTATGGAATCTAGACAAACAGTCACAGCTTCGGTCTGTGCTGCTGATCTTCCTTACCTCAGCTGGGTTAAGCCCTTTGAATGCATCAGGCCTTTGGCCTGAGAGCTAGCTCTTCTCACCCAGGCTGAACTCCGGCCCCAGGCGGTGGAGGTGGGAGCGGAAGTAGTGCTTCTCTCTCTCAGAGGTGTGGCTCTTCTGTTTACCCTGGAAAGAAAAGACACAAGTATGTCTTAAAGTGGATTAGGCACGGCAAGACAAGATGATAAATTCCCACTATAAACTCTCGAGCAGCTGTGAGCAGGCAGCGTGTGTGAACTTTCTTACCTTCTTCAAAGTCTTGATAGAGTTGTAGCTAAGCCCTTAACAGTCAAAAAACAAACTGCCAATGAAGTTTATTTTCCTTTTTGCTGAGTTTTCTGGACCATTGTTCCGCTTGAGGGGCCCTGTTTGTTAGTTTTGGCCGCCAGTTCCTCTTCCCTTAGCATCTCTCTCCTCAGGCACCCTTAGAGCACAGGGCTGAGGGGCGCCTCACAGAGCAGGCCTGGCCCCAGAAACCAGAACTGCCTGACTTCCTTCCCCGGTGGAGGAGGGGCGCCAAAGCGTGGGTTTGCGTCTGTAGCATTATTTACATAGCTGATTTTGGGGGAAACTGGGATATTTTCGTTTGTTCTCATACAAGGATCCTGGGGAAGTCTCACTTTAAATCTGCTGTGACTTGTATACTGATCTGATTTGCTGCTTTCCATGCCCCCTTTTTTTTTTCAAAAAATTTAAAATATTTAATTCAGCATTAGCCGTGCTTGCAAGCTACACAGCAGAATAAAATCACATTACAAACATTGTAGTATTAGATTTTATCACCATTTATTTCTTCTAGCCTGTCCAGGGATTTCTTCGTGCTCAATAGAACTAATTTGCAGGCAGACACTGAGGTCTTCTACAAGACCAGCAGTCTCCAGAAACTAAGTTATCCAAATAACTGATCCCTCCTAGGCCAGCCAGAGACGGACACCAAAACGCCCTAAGAAGGCCGAATGCCCCTTTTGAAGTCTGCGATGTTTTGACTGACTTGAAGCAGGCGGCTGGAATGAAAGCATAATTTTCAGTGGCCCAGGGGATTTTTCTCTCCCTCCCTCTCTCCCTCCCTCTCTCCCTCCCTTCTTCCCTCCCTCTCTTCTTTCCTCCCTCTCTCTTCCTCTGTCCCTCTCTTCCCATTTTCAAATATTAGGTAAAACAAAGAGAAATTGCTTGCTCTAATTTAGGAAGACTTAGTAATCAGGAGGCCAAACAGACTGGGAAAATTCCCCATTCCGAGCAAGCAGAGGGTTAGTTACTTGCCAGGGACGGCTGGGAAGTCACAACCATGACCCCCAGGAAAAGAAAACCCTAGAGTGGATGCGCTTAGTAGGCGTATCTGTGCTGTCAGTACCGTATCGGAATTTATTTTCTATTATTTATCAAAGAAAACATTAATTACTTTGATTCGGTACCATCTACAAAACAGTGCTGTATTTTAGTTTTAATTTTATTCAACCAGTAGGAGGTCAGCATTTAAAACAGCTTATTATATATTTACTGAAAAGATTTTAAGACTGTTATGTATGTAAAGTAAATTGAGCTGTAAGATGACACATAAGGAGTAACTAACTAGTTACCAAGAGTAACTAATGTTTTTAGACTACCAACTCAGAAGAGGTCAAAGGCATTTTAAAGAGATTCCTTTCTTACAGTACAGATGCATTGTCACAGGAAAAGGAAGATAATGTTTAAACCAGTGGTTCTCAACCTGTGGGTCAAGACCCCTCTGCTGGGGGTCAAATGACCTTTTCACAGGAGTCGCTTAAGACCATCGGAAAATGCAGATACTTACATTACAATTCATAACTGGGAAAATTACAGTTATGAAGTAGTAATGAAAATAATTTTATGATTGGGGGTCACCACAACATGAGGGACTGTATTAAAGGGTCACAGCATCAGGAAGGTTGAGAACCACTGTTTTAAATAAAAGGGTGACAGGAGCTGGAGACCAAAGCACCATGTACTGAGGTACAAACAGGAAATGCCTTATTGCCTGGTACACTCTACATCACCTGCAGGGCAAACGTGCACATCTATAGGACTTAGGGGAAAAAGGAATTAAATAATCCAATAATACTATAATTTAAAGTTCTGATTTCCAGTCGATGCCAACTTGGGTTTTGAACTCGGGCTTTTTTTTCCTGGCCATTTTAGAGAACGACAATGTAATTGGTGCATAGATGAGCCCGCAAGAATACCGATCCTGTGGCTGGCAAGTGTCCATCTCATAATTAAGTGTGTAGTGAGTTAATTTAAATGAAAAAGAAACTATAATCTTCCTTGTCTAAGATTTTGTTCTTGATTTTTTGATTGCATTGATCAGTACTCTGAGGCCTGGTGAAGGTCTAACGCTTGGTGTGAACAGGTCCTGTGACACACTGGACGTAGGAGTAAGTCCGACCCTCATTCTTCCTTTCAGTCTCAACATGTGACCCTTCCCTCTCCCATGCCCTCCTGCTATGATGTAATATGTCTTGTAATGACTCGGCCCTCACCATAATAACAAAAAATAAGTGAAAATTAAAAAAAAAACAATATTAGTTCTTTGCCTAAAACCACAGTACAGAGAATGCATATTGTTTTTTAAACAGCACCTTATGTTTACACAACTTAAGAAAGGACACTGAGTAGAAGGTGTCTGATCTTTTCTTTGAAAATATTCAAAATTTACTATAAGCAACCATGATGTGGTTACTGGGTAACAGGAAGTTTAGTGAGAGAGGATGCCTTTCCCAAATCTTCAAAAGATTTCTGAGTAGATGGAAAATTCATCTTAATATACTTTACGTAGAAGACAGAACCACACATTCAGTGTTGGGTCCTTTGAATTTGAAGCTACCTAGGTGACTTTTGTAGACAGATAAAAGCCTGATGTAGATTTCACAGGTGGCCAGAAACATAGATTTGATAATCATTGGCAGATGGATGATCCAGAAATCAATACACCAGGTGGCCTAGGAGTCATGTTGAGAATGAAAGGGAAGTTATGGGGCCAGGCAGAAGAGACGAGTCCAAGGATTTAGAAACATTTTCAAAATGGAAGAACCAGAGGTGGCGTAATCCCTCCAGACAGAGGACAATCTACTTGGTGTCAGCTTCCTCTAAGGGAGTGTGATGATTAATCTTCATTGCCAACCCAATGACATGTAGAAGTCCCTGGGAGAAGAGTCTGGGACTGCTTGTGAGAGATTATCTCCATGATGTCATTGAAGTGGGAAGACCCACCCTCTGTGGGGTGCAGCATTATCTGGATGAGGATTCCATACTGCATAAAAAGGGGAAAGTGAGTAGAACACAGACATATATCTGCTGTTGTCTGCTTCTTGATAATGGGTGTGATGTAACCAGCTGTATCCAATTGTCCCTGCTGCCTTGATTTCCCTGCTGTGATGATTGGACCTTTGAACTATGAGCCAAAATAAACTCTTCTTCCTTAAGTAGCTTTGTCAGGGTATTTTATCATGGCAACAGGAAAGGAAGCTAAGGTAAGGAATAAATCAATCAATGAATATAGCTGGAAGTTTTTCTGTGTCCCACCCAGTCCTGCAGCTGCTCAGACCCAAGTAAACACACAGAGGATCTATCAAATACAAATTGCATGGCCATGGCCTATGGCTCAATTTTCTTGCTAACTAGCTCTTATAACTTAACTCATTTTTATTAATCTATAAGTTGCCAGGTGGCTGTGGCTTACTGGTATTTTCACAACTTACTTCTCCTGGCAGCAGCTGGTGTCTCCTCTGCCTCTGCCTTTCTTCTTCCTGTCTCTCTCCTCGATTTTACACCTGCCTCTAAGCTGCCTTGCCATAGGCCAAACAGCTCTATTTATCAACCAATCAGAGCAACATATATTCACAGCATACAGAAAGACATCCCACAGCACTTGCCCATTTCTTTTTAATCAAAAAGGAAGGTTTTAACTTTAACATAGTAAAATTGCATATAATAGAACAGTTATCAAACAAGAATTACAGTTACAATGTCTAATCTATTGGTATTTTGTAAAATTAAAGAAAATGTTCTATCATCTATCCGTATTTGTGAGTCTAAAATTTCATATCTAATTTATCTTTTATCATAACCAAGGAAAATTATAATTATAACTATTTAGTCTTCAACTGCATCAAAGACCTCAGAAGGATATAATATTACCTAAGTAAACAGGAAATGCATTGTAAGCAACTTCCAAAATCCTGGAAATGACAGAGAGAAATGAAAGGTACAAAAGATGGGATACCATTGACCCTAGCAGTCCATGCTGGATAGTGATGGGGAAATCCAACTGCTTGTCCTGACAAATCTCAAGGAACTAAGACATTAGGCACACAAGCCTGAGATTCAGCAAGGCTTTCTACAAATTCCATGAAGTAGGAGTCAGACTCAGAGGGGCATGGATGACTGAGTAAAGGTTTACAGAAGAAAAAAACAATCATATGCAGAAATGGGCACAGGAAGGTCTTTGCTTCACCCCGGGCCCTCTCCTCTCCAATGCTGATCTTTCCAAGCAGTCCTTTCCTTCAGGGGGCCCAGCAGTAGGAAATGGGAGATCATTTGTGGCCACACTCCACATACTCACATCTACACAGCAGCAAGTAAGCATTATGACCTGTTGTTTGGATCTGGAATGGCCCCCAACGGGCTCATCTTGTGAGTATTCTGTCCTTTATCTCTCGGGGCTGTTTTATAGGCTGTGGAGCCTTTAAGAGGAAAGGCCTGGCTGGCAGAGTAGACAACTAGGGACAAGCATTTGAAAGTTATATTTTCCAGCAGAACCAGTTATGGTCTCTGTTTCCTGGTTCACTACGATGTGAGCAAGCTTCCACCACACACTCCTCCTCCTAAGGCTGGAACCACTCTGCCATGCCTCCTCTGCAGGATGGACTGAAATCTCTGAAAGCATGAGTCAGGTTCACAGTGACAGAAAAGTGACAAACAGGATGTGTTACAAAGTGAGGGCCTTTTGCCTTAACTCTTTAGTGCTAAGCCAAACCTTTCTCCTTGGCTTCCCATCTTCTCCTGCCAGTAGCCACTTCCTATTTTGAAGTGAAAGATCAGTCCACATGCGTGAGGTCTACCCTGATAATTACAATTACTTTGTCTTTGCAGAGCTTAAGAATTAGGGATATAAGACCAACTATTACATATTTCTTGTCTAATAAACTTTGAGTTCTTAAAGGATTACCATTTTCTATTTAAACCACCAGCTCTCACCTTGTCTGGGTTTTAGTAATGACTCAATTAACAATGAATTGGCATAATACTTTAGAAAAAACTTAATATTGAAAAAGGTACCAAAAATCTGTCTTAGTGACTAGAATTATGGACATCATTATACTTATCTACATGTAACCATCTATTTGATGTTTATCTAAAGAAGGATAATTATTTATAGTTAATGGAAATTATGCTTACACATTTGTTAATCTCTTTTTATCCAAAGGAGGGATATT